TTTCCATTCCCAGCCGGGGGGGAGGGAGGAGATGGAAAGCAAGAAATCATGTTCCCGGAGGTGAGAGACAGACCCTCGCCAAGCCGGAGAGGGGGACACGGACGAGCCAAAAGCACCACTCACCTGCCATCCCTGGGGCCGGCCGGAGATCCGCTCCCATCATCTGGCCGCAGCTCCTGCGTCCTCGGCCCGCCCGCCTCCCCCCTTCTTCCGCTCCTCTGGCTGGCTGCGATCTCCGAAACCTTTGACCGTGGTTAATGAATGACGAGAGCGAAACGAACGAGCCAGAGAGAGCGTCTTGGGGGGAAGAGAAGGGAGTGTGGCGGAGGGCGGGCTGCCTGCGTGAGCATCTCTCGCCTCGCCTGGTGCTCTGGAAAGCCATGAAGCCAGAGCCGCCGCTCCAGGCGCACGGGCAGAGGGTGCGCAGTGCTCCTTTCCCGGCCCTGCTGGTGATCCCTAAAAGGGGGGCAAGGGGGGGGCAGGACCGAATCTCCCAGAGGGGAGAAACTGTCAGGATGCCCAGGAGAACAGCTGAAGGGCAGGAGAGGAGGGGGGCGTCGATGAACTTATCCTCTGTGGTGGATGAGTCTATCAGCGGCTACCAGCCATGGTGACGGAGGGGAACCTCCACGTTCAGAGGCACTAAGCCTCTGAATCCCGGGGCAAGGAGGCAACATCAGGGGAAGGCCTCGGCCTCTCTGCCCTGTTCTTGGCCCTCCAGAGGAACTGGTTGGCCACTGTGTGAGACGGGAGGCTGGACTGGATGGACCCTCCCTGGTCTGACCCAGCAGGGCTCTTCTGAGGTTCTTCTCAGGGGAAGGACTCGGCCTCTCTGCCCTGTTCCTGGCCCTCCAGAGGAACTGGTTGGACAGTGTGTGAGGCAGGAGGCTGGACTAGATGGACCCTCCCTGGTCTGACCCAGCAGGGCTCTTCTCTCAGGGGAAGGCCTCAGCCTCTCAGCCCTGTTGTTGGCCGTCCAACCAGGCAAGGCTTTCCCCTAATGTTGCCTCCCGGCTCTGGGATTCAGAGAATCAGTGCCTTTGAATGTGGAAGTTACCCTCAGCCACCATGGCTCGTAGCCATTGATAAACATATCCTCCATGAATCTATCTAATCCCCTTGAAATGCTGTTTGCTCCTGTGGCCATCACTACATCCCCTGGCAGTGAATTCCACATTGTCATCACTCTGTGTAAAGTAGTATTTCCTTTTGTCCATCCTGAACCTACTGCCCAACGGCTGCATTGGTTGCCCCATTGGGGAGAGCGAGAAAACGTTCTCTCTGTCAACCCTCCCCACCCCATACTTAATTTTATAAACCTGCAGTTTTAGAAAGTAACGTGATAGCTGCACTGAGAGAAAGTGGGAGATACAAGCCGCCAGGAGTAGACACCAAGCCACAGAAACAGAATCCATCAAAAACTTAACTAGATTGTGCCGACAAATATAGAAAACAAAACAATGGCCCACAGACTGGGGACACCGAATTTACATCCCAATTCCAAAAAAAGGCGATGTCAAAGACTGCAGCAACTCTCAGACCATCGCATTGATTTCTCACGCTCAAAATCTACAACGAAGATTGTTACCGCGTATGAAATGAGAAACGTCAGAGGTTCATGCTGGATTCAGGAGGAGGCACCAGAGTTCATACTGCAAATTTACGTTAGCTACCTGAGCATACAAGATAATTTCAGAAGAAAGCAAGCTTGCGTTTCACAGACTACAGCAAAACGTTCGACTGTGTGGATCATGAAAAGCGATGGTCGGTTTTAAAAGAAAAAAAATAATAATACTCGGACTGGCAGCTGCTCTCCGGGGTCTCAGGCAGAGGTCTTTCACGTCACCTGCTGGCTCTGAGTGATTTACAGTTACACATATTCACACGGGACTAACAATGATTCATAGGGGTAAAGGAGGACAACATACACATCTTTTTAAGTCACGCACGTTTGCAGCCGACGGGGATTTTGTTCAGCTGTAGGCTTAGATGTGTTCCAGACGGCATCCACTCGGCTTGTCTTGATGACGTCAGCTTTTTCCAGGACTGCTTCAAGTCGCAGCGCCACACTGCCACCGCCTGGCCGGATCGGCCCATCGCAGGCTTCTTGATGCCGAGGAGATCTTTCCAGGCTTCCGAGCTTCCGAGCTGGACATTCCGTTTCGCCGGCTAACACCTCCCCCCACCGGGGGGGGGTTTTAAGTGTGCCCACCCTCTCTAAGGAGTGGTACCCATTTCATCTACTCGCCGAAGCTTTCGAACCGCTGGGTGGACGGCGAGCTGGGGACAAGGCTGGTAGCTCACACCAGCGCAGGGCTAGAACTGACAGCAGTTCTGTTCAGTTCAGATGTTACTGTAACCAGAGGATAAATCCTCTGTGCTGTCCAGTCTGCTGTCCGGAAGGATGGTACTCCTGATAAGTTGTCAAGCAGCTTGAGGGATGAAGGAAAAACTCTCACAGGCCAGATGTGCCTCCCCCCCCCCGGAATCTGCCCACCTCTGCTTCGGAGAGGCAAAATTTCCCGCAAGCCTCTGTCAGAAACGAACACATGAAGCTGCCTTACGCTGAATCCATCAAAGCCTGTGTTGCTTCCAAAGGTCAGTCTCGTCTGCTCTGACTGGCAGCCGCTCTCCAGGGTCTCAGGAGGAGACCTTTCACACCATCTACCACCTGAGCGGTTTTAACTGGAGATGCTAGCTGGGATTGAACCGGGGACCTTCTGCATGCCGAGCAGAGGCTCTGCCACTGAGCCACGGCCCCTCCCCAAAACATGAAGCTGCCGTATACTAACAGACCCTAGATCCATTAAGGTTGGCATTCTCTACTCAGACTGGCAGCTGCTCTCCGGGGTCTCAGGCTGAGGTCTTTCACGTCACCTGCTGCCTGGTCCTTTTTAACTGGAGATGCTGCCAGGGATTGAACCTGGGACCTTCTGCATGCCAAGCAGAAGCTCTACCACTGAGCCACAGCCCCTCCCCAGAAAGAGCTCTCTACTCAGACTGGCAGCTGCTCTCCAGGGTCTCAGGCAGAGATCTTTCACGTCACCTGCTGCCTGGTCCTTTGAACTGGACATGCCAGGGATTGAACCTGGGGCCTTCTGCATGCCGAGCAGATGCTCTACCACTGAGCCACAGCTCCTTACCCTTGATCCACTGAGATCAGGATTGTCTACTCAGACTGGCAGCTGCTCTCCAGGGTCTCAGGCAGAGATCTTTCACGTCACCTGCTGCCTGGTCCTTTGAACTGGACATGCCAGGGATTGAACCTGGGGCCTTCTGCATGCCGAGCAGATGCTCTACCACTGAGCCACAGCCCCTCCACAGAAAGAGCTCTCCAGGGTCTAAGGCTGAGGTCTTTCCCATCACCTCCTGCCTGGTCCTTTCAACTGGGGATGCCGGGGACTGAACGTGGCAGGACCTTCTGCATGCCAAGCAGATGCCTTACCACTGAGCCATGTGGCCCCTCCAAATAAGTACAGCAGCTGTATAGAAGCATACTTGTCCACGACTTGCAAAAACAGTGGCCTTCACAATGTGTCCTGGGGACCAAGCACAGGTCTACTGGGGTTTCTCAAAGAGAAAGTCAGCCATGGCCGACTATCCTCCTAAAGGAAGACACGGGTTGTGACTGCCCATTGTTCCTCTCCAATGTGCCAGTGCGTCTTCGGAATTTTCTCGGGCACCCTCCCCCGTTTGAAACGCGGAGACAGACCGGATTGGTGAGCACACCGTGCAAACGGAATGGGCACCTTAGGATCAGGGTTCCCCCTAAGCTGAGTTAGTGTGAGCCAGCTCACAGCTTTCTAGCCCCCGGCTCACACATGTTTGTCTCCGCTCAGGCAGGAGGGCTCCAGAGCAAACTAATTTATGCCGTCGCCAAATTGCTCGCCCGCAACTTTAATGCGGGCAGCTCACAAAGTAGAATTTTTGCTCACAAGACTCCACAGTTAGAGGGAGCATTGCTTAGGGTCAGTGTTCCCTCTAAGCTGAGTTAGTGTGAGCTAGCTCACAGTTTTTAAGCCTCTGGCTCACACATTTTTGTCTTAGCTCAGGGAAGGATGGCTCCAGAGTAACCTAATTTATGCAGTAGCCAAATCGCTTGCTCACAACTTTGATGCCAGTTGCTCACAAAGTAGAATTTTTGCTCACAGGACTCCACAGCTTAGAGGGAGCATTGCTTAGGATATGTCCCAGAATCCTCCGCGGTGCAAAAGGGGTTCTGCGACACGTGGGCAGGTGCTTCTCAACAGAAGTCTCGAAGCAGGAAGTGCACTGAAGGTTTTGAGAGCCACGGGTCTCTCAAATAGCCCAGGACCACATCAGAGCCGGACTGGGACCGAATCCAAGCTAAAGAGCTTAGGGCTCTTTAGCTTGGAGAAACGACGACTGAGGGGTGACATGATTGAGGTTTATAAGATTATGCATGGGAAAGAGCAGGTAGAGAAAGAGGTACTTTTCTCCCTTTCTCACAATACAGGAACTCGTGGGCACTCCATGAAACTGCAGAGCGGTCGGGTTAGAACGGATAAAAGGAAGTCCTTCTTCACCCAAAGGGTGATTCACACATGGAACTCACTGCCACAGGAAGTGGTGGCAGCTACAAGCATGGACGGCTTCAAAAGGGAATTAGATAAGCATATGGAGCAGAGGTCCATCAGTGGCTATTAGCCACAAGGTATAGATAGGGACTCTGGGGCAAGTGATGCTCTGTCATCTTGGTGCTTGGGGGGGGGGGTCAACAGTGGGAGGGCTTCTAATGTCCTGGCCCCACTGCTGGACCTCCTGATGGCACTGGTATTTCTGGCCACTGTGGGATACAGAGTGTTGGACTGGATGGGCCTTTGGCCTGATCCAACATTGGCATCTCTTATGTTCTTATGTTCTTAATCGGAGACGAGCCACGGGCTCTGGGAAAGAACTCGGCAACTGCCCAGAAATCTCCACAGTTTCCAGGGAAATCCTTGCCGCTCCTTCACCGCGAGACTCGCAAATGGGCTTACCGCTGTCTGGAGTGCCCCTTGCTGGCTGTACACGGCGAGTTGCCGGGAGGGGTCGTTCTGCTCGTTGAAGGAGATGGCCATCACAACCAGCGCATCGTAGCCTCTCTGTCGGCAGAAGGCGCACAAATCCTGTTCCACGGCTGGACGGCGCAAGAAGTCCTGCATGGAACATAAGAACATAATGTTGGATCAGGCCAATGGCTCCTCCAGTCCAACACTCTGTCACACAACGGCCAGAAATACCAGGTGCCCTCAGGAGGTCCAGCAGTGGGGCCGGAACTCCAGAAGCCCTCCCACTGTTGCCCCCCCCCCCCGCACCAAGAATACAGAGCATCCCTTGCCTCAGACCGAGAGTTCCTATCTATACCTTGTGGCTAATAGCCATTGATGGACCTCAGCTCTTAACATAAGAACAATAGAGAAGCCAATGCTGGATCAGGCCAATGGCCCATCCAGTCCAACACTCTGTCACAAAGTGGCCAGAAATACCAGGGGCCCTCAGGAGGTCCAGCAGTGGGGCCAGAACTCCAAAAGCCCTCCCACTGTTGCCCCCCCCAAGCACCAAGAAGACAGAGCATCACTTTCCCCAGACCGAGAGTTCCTATATATACCTTGTGGTTAATAGCCACCGATGGACCTCGGCTCTTAACATAAGAACAGAAGCCCATGTTGGATCAGGCCAATGGCCCCTCCAGTCCAACACTCTGTGTCACACAGTGGCCAAAAATACCAGGTGCCCTCAGGAGGTCCAGCAGTGGGGCGAGAACACTAGAAGCCCTCCCACGGTTGCCCCCCCCCAAGGACCAAGAATACAGTGCAGAGCCAATACACAAAAGGGAACGCTCCGGTCATCTCTGGAGGTCCTGTTTCGGGTGCCCCCGCAAGCGGAGTCTAACTAGGTGGCAAAAGGGCCTTCTTGGTGGTGGCTCTGGAACTTCGGAACCAAGGGAGATTCATCTGTCTCCCCCTATCGTTGTCTTCCGCCAGAGGGCAAAGACGTTTTGGTTCGGTTTGCCAATTCCCAAGTAACTGTTATTGGTCCTCCTCCCTGGTTAGGTGTGTTCTGTATTTATATGTTTTGATCGAATCGTTTAAATATTTTATATAGACTCTACTTTAGTGACGTTTTAATGTCTTCAGTCAGGGATCCCCGACCTTTCTGAGCCTGGGAGCACACTGAGAATTCTGAGAGGGGGTGGTGAATGCCACCCCCAAAATGGCTTCCACGGGAGGCGGAGCCAAGCAGAATCCTTCCGGTTTCCAACGGGAGGTGGAGCCAAGCAAAATGCGTCCGGTTTTCCATGGGAGGCGGAGCCAAGCAGAATCCTTCCGGTTTTCCATGGGAGGTGGAGCTAAGCAGAATGCTTCCGGTTTTCCACGGGAGGCGGAGCCAAGCAGAATGCCTCCAGTTTTCCAACGGGAGGCGGAGCCAAGCAGAATGCCTCCGGTTTTGCACTTCCAGGAAAGAAGGAAAGCCTGAAAGGGGGGGGGGAACCCCAGGTGCTTGCTGGTCCTTCTGATCCTCCAATGAAAAAACCTTTCATTTGGATGTGGGAAGCCAATAAGAGGCCCTGCCTTACAATGGCCCCACCCACTTTTTGGAAAGCTCAGCGGGTGCCAAGGGAAGTACCGGTGGGCACCGCATTGGGAACCTGTCTTAAATGTGGCACCTAAGTGTGTTAAAGTTGGGCTGCGGTGGCTCAAGTGGTTAAGACGCTGAACTGCAGACCGGAAGGTCGGTAGTTCAGGAGTTCGAGACCCGAGTGTGCCGCTTGATGGAGTGAGCTCCCGTCTCCAGCTCCTGCCAACTTAGCAGTTTGAAAGCAAGAAATTGCAAGTAGATAAATAGGCACCGCTTCGGTGGGAAGGTAACAACGTTCCATGTGCCTCGGTGTCTAGTCATGTCGGCCACATGACCATGGAAACGTCTTCGGACAGCGCTGGCTCTTCGGCTTGGAAACGGAGATTAGCATCCCTAGAGTCGGATTCGACTGGCTCTTGAGCAAGGGGAAACCTTTAACCTTTTTAAGTGTGTTCAATAAATAAAACATATAAAATGGAAACGCTTCCGCAGCCACCGATGGCCACTCACCAGAACAGCCGTTCCATCTCGGCGGCTGAAGTCCCCAAAACAAAAGCCACAAATACTTGGGATGGGAGACCTCCGAGGAATACCCGGGCTGGGATGCAGAGGCAGGCAACAGCAAGCCGCCTCTCTGAAGCGTCCAAGCCCCACTAGGGGTCGCCAGAGGTCCACCATGACTTCCAGGCACACACACACACACACACACACACACACACACACACACACACACACACAAATACTCAGCAAAAAAAAATTTTTTAAACCCACCAGGGACCCACATTTCACCCCTACCTGTAAAGTCACGTACACAGAGCTAAGCGCAATGACAACGTCTTTCCCAGAGACAGCTTTAAGGTCTTTCCTCAGCATCTGCTCGGTCGTGAGTCCTGAGAGGAAGAGACACCAAGCGTGAGGGACGATTACGCCGGAGGAGGAGATGTGGGAGATGAGCAGCACAAGTGGAACGGGGACCAGGACTCAGCAGCGGAGCAGAGGCCTTGATTCACATGCCAAAGGTCCCCAGGTTCAACCCTCAGCAGCTCCAGTTATAAAGGACCAGACAGTAGAGAAGAGAGAAGAGACTGGATTTATACCCCGCCCTTCACTACCCGACGGAGTCTCAGAGCGGCTCACAAACTCCTTTCCCTTCCCCTCCCCGCCACAGACACCCGGTGAGGTAGGCGGGGCTGAAAGAGCTTTTTTCAGAGCTGCCCTTGAGAGAACAGCTCCAAGAGAGCTTGCGACTGACCCAAGGTTACACCAGCAGCTGCATGCGGAGGAGTGGGGAATCAAACCCGGTTCTCCCAGATTAGAGTCCAGTAAGAAGGAAGAAGAAGAGGAGATTGGATTTATACCCCGCCCTTCACTACCCGAAGGCGTCTCAGAGCGGCTTACGATCGCCTTTCCCTTCCCCTCCCCGCAACAGACACCCTGTGAGGTAGGCGGGGCTGAGAGAGCTTTTTTCAGAGCTGCCCTTGAGAGAACAGCTCCGAGAGAGCTTGCGACTGACCCAAGGTTACACCAGCAGCTGCATGTGGAGGAGCGGGGAATCAAACCCGGTTCTCCCAGATTAGAGTCTGGGAATATGCCTTTGCTCCGTCTTCTGGAGATGACGCTCTTTGTCAGACGGGGACGTACCTGAGACGTCAAACTTGGCATTCTGCAGTGCCTCGAATATGACGCCTCTCGGGGGCAGATCCGGGAACTTGTATTCAAGGAGGGAAGCGAAACGAACATCCTTGGGGGTCACTTTGCCAGCCTCGGGGGCCATGTTGACACAGTCGAGCACGATGGTCCCTGCGGAACCAAAACACAAGGGTCTGAGCTGCGCTATCGAAGTTAAGAGTGTGGAAAACTAACATAAAGGCTCTACATCTGACAATAGCACTACAGTTAAGATCAGAATCCACATGCAAAAGAACCTCCTCAGGAAACCTCAGGAAACAATCCATATACTAAAGAACCTCCTCAGGAAAGCTCCTCCATTAGCATGTTCCCGGGGGAACTCCTACAAGATAATGACTCAGCCCTACCCCACCTTCCTGAGTAGATATAAATTACCTGCCTACCATTTTTCTTCTCACCTTGATGCAGAGAGTGCTCCATCTTTCTGTGTTATACCTCTGAGGATGCCGTTCAGGTCCTACAAGCTCAAGACCACGGCCAGACAACCCGGAAAATCTACAACAACTAATCATAGAGAGACTTGGAGAATCTCTGCTACGGAACATAGTAGCCAAGCATAGGCTCCGCCACTGAGCCACAGCCCCTCTTAACAGCTCTCCAGGGTCTTTCCAGTCACCTCCTGCCTGGTCCTTTGTAACTGGAGATGCTGCCGGGGATTGAACCTGCAACCCTCTGCATGCCAGGCAGATGCTCTGCCACTGAGCCACGGCCCCTCTTTACAGCTCTCCCGGGTCACAGGTTAAAGGTCTTTCCCATCACCTCCTGCCTGGTCCTTTGTAACTGGAGATGCTGCCGGGGATTGAACCTGCAACCCTCTGCATGCCAGGCAGATGCTCTGCCACTGAGCCACGGCCCCTCTTTACAGCTCTCCCGGGTCACAGGTTAAAGGTCTTTCCCATCACCTCCTGCCTGGTCCTTTGTAACTGGAGATGCTGCCGGGGATTGAACCTGCAACCCTCTGCATGCCAGGCAGATGCTCTGCCACTGAGCCACGGCCCCTCTTTACAGCTCTCCCGGGTCACAGGTTAAAGGTCTTTCCCATCACCTCCTGCCTGGTCCTTTGTAACTGGAGATGCTGCCGGGGATTGAACCTGCAACCCTCTGCATGCCAGGCAGATGCTCTGCCACTGAGCCACGGCCCCTCTTTACAGCTCTCCCGGGTCACAGGTTAAAGGTCTTTCCCATCACCTCCTGCCTGGTCCTTTGTAACTGGAGATGCTGCCGGGGATTGAACCTGCAACCCTCTGCATGCCAGGCAGATGCTCTGCCACTGAGCCACGGCCCCTCTTTACAGCTCTCCCGGGTCACAGGTTAAAGGTCTTTCCCATCACCTCCTGCCTGGTCCTTTGTAACTGGAGATGCTGCCGGGGATTGAACCTGCAACCCTCTGCATGCCAGGCAGATGCTCTGCCACTGAGCCACAGCCATTCCAAAAGAGCCTCCGCCTGAGACCCTGGAGAGCTTCTTCTAGTCCGAACAGACAATACTGATCTTGATAGACCAGTGGTCTGATCCAGTCTGGGGGAGCTTCAAGCATTTCTGTGTCATCAGATGCCTCATCCTATTGACTGCATTGAGTAACTCTGTGTAATCCGCCTTACGTCTCCAGGACAAAAGGGGGGAAAAATACTGTTGAGAAAACACAGAAATCATTCGCTGGGCGGGAGGATTTGTGAACTTTCTGCTGGCGGGGAGCGGGGAAACGCAGATATCAGTGGCTGCATACTTCCTGCCCTGGGGGGATCAGGAAAGGTTCAGACCAGCGCGGGTACCCGCAGGTCCCACTGCGAGTCCAAAATAGCGCAAACCAGCTGTCTCTTTCCCGCAGGTCGCTGCTGCCCTTACCGTGCAGGAGGGCTGCCGTGGTCTGGTCCAAAACCTCCACCCGGCCCTGAAAGATCTTCTCCGTCACCAGTGTGGCGCATGACCCCACCAGTTCCGACGTGATTCTGCACGAAGGGCCCCTTCCCTGCTCCAGGGGGCGATGGTCTATCACCTCGACAACCGTTTCTTCCAGACCTGCGTCCTGGCTGTGAAAAGGCAATGGAGGCATGCAGATGAGTCCCCTGGTGCAGAAGGCCCCGCCCTTGTTATGGGACTCATGTTCTAGTGTTTTCAGGGAGCGAGTACAGTGTACAGTTCTGGTCACCACACCTCAAAAAGAATATCATAGCTTTGGAAAAAGTGCAGAAAGGGGCAACGCGAATGATAAAAGGGTTGGAACACTTTCCCTATGAAGAGAGGTTAAAGCACTTGGGGCTCTTTAGCTTGGAGAAACGACGGCTGAGGGGTGATACGATTTTATAAGATACGAGGTTTATAAGATTATGCATGGGAAAGAGCAGGTAGAGAAAGAGGTACTTTTCTCCTTTTCTCACAATACAAGAACTCGTGGGCACTCCATGAAATTGCTGAGCAGTCGGGTTAGAACGGATAAAAGGAAGTTCTTCTTCACCCAAAGAGTGATTAACACATGGAATTCACTGCCACAGGAGGTGGTGGCAGCTACAAGCATGGACGGCTTCAGGTGGGAATTAGATGAGCATCTGGAGCAGAAGTCCATCAGTGGCTATGAGCCACAAGGTATCGATAGGAACTCTCGGTCTGGGGCAAGTGATGCTCTGTCTTCTTGGTGCTTGGGGGGGGGCAACAGTGGGAGGGCTTCTAGTGTCCTGGCCCCACTGCTGGACCTCCAGGTGGCACCTGGTATTTTTGGCCGCTGTGTGACACAGAGTGTTGGACTGGATGGGCCATTGGCCTGATCCAGAACCTAAAAAAGGTTAGTCAAATGCAAAAGAGGGCCTACAATAAAAGCTTAATATATGAAATATATAAAAAGATACATGTATTTATTAAACAAAGTTTTTTAAATGAAATATAAGGGCCCAATCACACCTCATGTACAAATACCAAATTATAACACACAAGGGCGGATGGATTCGACCTGACGTGTTTCGGCCTGCATAGGCCTTCTTCAGAGGTCAAATACAGTGAGGAACATATTGGCTAATATACAAATACAATACAATAATGCAGATACAAGGTATAAAATCAATAAGGACCAGAAAAAAAGTTTTTTCAAAATGCAACCACTAGGCACAGAATAAAGGTACAAATGAGGCCTCCAACAGAGCATTCACATGCCAAGTGTCGTTTCTCTGGTATAAATCTCTGGTCCAGAAATTGCCTTCCTATGATTATTCAGCCAAAATGTCCTCAATAGAACTGCCCTTAAGTGAAGAGCAGCTCTTTTCTTATGTTCTCTCAGTCCACTCTCTCCGCCCCGTGCACCCCACTGGCTTCCATAAGAACATAAGAGACACCAATGTTGGATCAGGCCAATGGCCCAACCAGCCCAACACTCCATGCCACACAGTGGCCAGAAATACCAGGTGCCATCAGGAGATCCACCAGTAGGGCCAGGACATTTGAAGCCCTCCCACTGTTGCCCCCCCCCCAAGCACCAAGAAGATGGAGCATCATTTGCCCCAGATGTAAGAAAATAAGAGAAGCCAATGTTGGATCAGGCCAATGGCTCATCTAGTCCAACACTCTGTGTCACACAGTGGCCAAAAATACCAGGTGCTATCAGGAGGTACAGCAGTGGGGCCAGGACACCAGAAGCCCTCCCAGTGTTGCCCCCCACTCCCAAGCACCAAGAAGATGGAGCATCACTTGCCCCAGATGTAAGAAAATAAGAGAAGCCAATGTTGGATCCGGCCAATGGCTCATCTAGTCCAACACTCTGTGTCACACAGTGGCCAGAAATACCAGGTACCCTCAGGAGGTCCACCAGTGGGACCAGGACACCAGAAGCCCTCCCCCTGTTGCCCCCCACCCCAAGGAGCAAGAAGATAGAGCGTCACTTGCCCCAGATGTAAGAAAGTAAGAGAAGCCAATGTTGGATCAGGCCAATGGCCCATCCAGCCCAACACTCCGTCACACAGTGGCCAGAAATACCAGGTGCCCTCAGGAGGTCCAGCAGGGGGGCCAGGACACCAGAAGCCCTCCCACTGTTGCCCCCCCCAGCACCAAGAAGACAGAGCATCACTTGCCCCAGACCGAGAGTTCCTATCCATACCTTGTGGCTAATAGCCACTGATGGACCTGTGCTCTTAACATAAGAACATAAGAGAAGCCCATGTTGGATCAGGCCAATGGCCCACCCAGTCCAACACTCTGTGTCACACAGTGGCCAGAAATACCAGGTGCCATCAGGAGGTCCAGCAGTGGGGCCAGGACACCAGAAGCCCTCCCACTGTTGACCCCCCACCCCCAAGCACCAAGAAGACAGACAGAGCATTCCGTTCAGGTATCCCACACCCATGCCTTACCTCGGCAGGACATGGTGGTCCACCAGGGTCAGAGAGAGGAGCCCGGCTTGGTGGAGGGCGAGAAGGTCGATCTCGTCTCGGAAGATGATGGCGCTCTCGGGGAGCCGCTGTTCCTTGAAGAGGAAGGTGCTCTCCGTCCGCAGGGGGAAGTCGGCGCGAGGGATGTTCAAAACCGGGATGAAGGCCGCCCTCGGCTCCGGAGACACCTGTGGGGTGCCGGAAAGTCTTTTTTACATCACTGTGGGTGGTGCTTCGCAAGCACAGAATCCCGAGAATGGCAAATCTCATTTTAAGAAGAAGCAGGTCCCTTGTCCCATTTGTGCCTGCCTGCCCTAGGAAGCAGGGGACTTCCGATCGCCACACAGACACACACCAAACCAAAGGAAGACATCATGTCCAGGTCGGGGGTTCTCACCAGCGCCTTTTTTGGGTGCCCTCCCCGGGCCAGGCAGGGCTTTTGCCCAGCAAAGCTTCTCATTGGGCACCGGGGATCTGATTGGTTGTGCAGATTTTTTTAAAAACGTTGCGAAGAAGAAGGAGGAGGAGGAGATTGGATTTATACCCCACCCTTCACTCCCGAGTCTCAGAGCGGCTTACAGACTCCTTTCCCTTCCCCTCCCCTCCCCTCAACAGACACCCTGCGAGGAAGGTGGGGCTGAGAGAGCTCTTTCCAGAACTGTCCTTGCGAGAACAGCTCAGAGAGAACTACGGCTTGCCCAAGGTCATCCAGCAGCCGCAAGTGGGGGAGCAGAGAATCAAACCCGGTTCTCTCAGATTAGAGTCCGCGCACTTCACCCCGACACCAAACTGGCAGCTGCTACCACAGCACGAGAATCTTCGCCGAGTGACGGAAGGGAAAGCGGCGGCGGCCATTTTGTAGCTGGGCCTGCCTTCCTGCGGTGGCCATTTTGTAGCAGTGACTATTTGGCTGCACCCACCATGCCGTGTCAGAATTCCAAAGACGCTTCCAGGGTCATAAAGGTTGGGGGGCCCCGGTCTAGTTAGGATTGTGCTGTTGTAGGACTGGGGAGCCCTGGTTTCAAATCCCTGTTCAGCCATGAAGTTTGCTGGTTAACCTTGGGCTACACTCTCTCTCTCTCTCTGCCTAACCCACCTCGCAGGGTCGTTGTGACAATAAAATATGGGGGGGGGCGGAAGAGGCCAAGCAGAGAGCCAACCTTTGCCAAGAAGTAAGCGAGGGCCAGGGCGGACACCGCCGAGTCCAGATCACACGCTTCGTTCCCCAGCACCACGTGGACGTCCCGGCGGCTCCGGATGCACTCCTGTCAAGGGAGGGAAAAAAAGGAACGCAACAGTCCCCGGGGAAAGCAGACAAGCACCGGGTGGAGAGGAGGGATTCAGAAGGGAGGCTGGGGAAACCTGGTGGGCGTTGCAGGCAACTCCAGCGTCACCTTGAACCCCAATTGGATGGTTAAAAAATCCCCCCCCCTCACCAACGGGAGCCGTGTTCAACAATAGAATGTAGGAAGGAAAATGGGTCCCACAAGGAACTCACGTCCCAGCAAGATCAGCCCTGTTCAGGCACTTTTGAGAAAAAAGGGGGGAAAGGAGAAGTCATAAGAACCTCAGAAGAGCTCTGCTGGATCAGACCAGGGAGGGTCCATCCAGTCCAGCCTCCCGTCTCACACAGGGGCCAGCCAGTTCCTCTGGAGGGCCAGCAACAGGGCAGAGAGGCCGAGGCCTTTCCCTGAGAAGAACCTCAGAAGAGCCCTGCTGGATCAGACCAGTGAGGGTCCATCCAGTCCAGCATCCTGTCTCACAAAGGGGCCTCAACCAGTTCCTCTGGAGGGCCAACAACAGGATATGGAGGCCGAGGCCTTCATAAGAACATCAGAACAGTCCTGCTGGGTCATAAGAACATAAGAACATAAGAGACGCCAATGTTGGATCAGGCCAAAGGCCCATCCAGTCCAACACTCTGTGTCACACAGTGGCCAGAAATACCAGGGGCCATCAGGAGGTCCCGGGGTGGGGGCAAGACACTAGAAGCCCTCCCACTGTTGACCCCCCCCCCCAAGCACAGAACAGTGAAGGTCCATCTAGCCCAGCATCCTGTCTCACACAGCGGCCAGACAGTTCCTCTAGATGGCAAGCAACATGGCAGAGAGGCCGAGGCCTTCCCCTGAGAAGAGCCGCAGAAGAGCCCTGCTGGGTCAGACCAGGGAGGGGCCCTCTAGTCCAGCCTCCTGTCTCACACAGCGGCCAGACAGTTCCTCTAGATGGCAAGCAACATGGCAGAGAGGCCGAGACCTTCCCCTGAGAAGAGCCGCAGAAGAGCCCTGCTGGGTCAGACCAGGGAGGGGCCCTCTAGTCCAGCCTCCTGTCTCACACAGCGGCCAGACAGTTCCTCTAGATGGCAAGCAACATGGCAGAGAGGCCGAGACCTTCCCCTGAGAAGAGCCGCAGAAGAGCCCTGCTGGGTCAGACCAGGGAGGGGCCCTCTAGTCCAGCCTCCTGTCTCACACAGCGGCCAGACAGTTCCTCTAGATGGCAAGCAACATGGCAGAGAGGCCGAGACCTTCCCCTGAGAAGAGCCGCAGAAGAGCCCTGCTGGGTCAGACCAGGGAGGGGCCCTCTAGTCCAGCCTCCTGTCTCACACAGCGGCCAGACAGTTCCTCTAGATGGCAAGCAACATGGCAGAGAGGCCGAGACCTTCCCCTGAGAAGAGCCGCAGAAGAGCCCTGCTGGGTCAGACCAGGGAGGGGCCCTCTAGTCCAGCCTCCTGTCTCACACAGTGGCCTTAACCAGTTCCTGTGACCAGCCAACAACAGGGCAGAGAGGCCGAGACCTTCCCCTGACATTGCCTCGTGGCACTGGGATTGACTGCCTCTGACAGACCGATCTACCATGATTCCACCTAATCCCCTTTCAAAGCGTTTCCTTTTCTGTGCACAGAAGCAAGCCCCTAGTTCGAATCCTGCCACACACACTCAGGAGGTGGATTTAAGAGGAGCCCGTTGGACATCCGGTGGCCATTTGGGGATAATAATATCCCAATGACAGACTCTGGGATTCAGTTCTGCTGTTCAGGATCCAGCAGACCCAATGGTGGAAACCGGGTTTCTGGGTCTTTTTTCAGAGGCTCCAAAGGGAAAATTCCGCCTCCTATTACGGAGGTGGAAGACGCTGACCCCATTCTATGTCTTCTCACACAGCAGAGTCTGAACCTGGGGGTGGGGGTGGTCTTCAGTGTTCCCTCTAAGCTGAGTGTGAGCTGGATCACAGTCTTTCAGCCTCCAGCTCACACATTTTTTTGTCTTCGCTCAGGAAGGGATGGCTCCAGAGCAAATGGATTTATGCAGCAGCTGAATCGCTCGCTCACAACTTTAATGCCAGGGGCTCACAAAGTGGAATTTTTGCTCACGAGACTCCACGGCTTAGAGGGAGAGGAGACCGCAACTTCAGTACATAAGGTGGACAGAGTATATGGGAAGCACTCAAGGGTCTGAGCACAACTTTGGTCCCACTTCCCTTCAAAGTGGGACCTCCCTGGCCTTTTGAGGGGACTGTACCATCACAGAGGCCTGTACCACGTGCCTTTCTGAACACAGGAAGAAGAGAAGGAGATTGGATTTATACCCTGTTCTTCACTAACCGGAGGGGTCTCAGAGCGGCTTACAATCTCCTTTCTCTTCCCATCCCCACACCAGACACCCTGTGAGGTAGGTGGAACTGAGAGAGCTCTTTCGAGGACTGTTCTTGAGAGGACAGCTCTGAGAGAACTTGGACTGACCCAAGGCCACACCAGCAGCTGCATGTGGAGGAGTGGGGAATCAAACCTGGTTCTCCCAGATTAGAGTTCGCACTCTTAACCATGACACCAAACTTGCTCTCAGAGCAGCTTACAATCTCCTTGCCCTCCCCGCAACAGACACACCCTGTGAGGTCGGGCGGGGCTGAGAGAGCTCTCCCGAGAACTGCCCTTGAGAGCACAGCTCTGAGAGAACTTGGACTGACCCAAGGCCACACCAGCAGCTGCATGTGGAGGAGTGGGGAATCAAACCCGGTTCTCCCGGATTAGAGTCCGCGCTCCTAACCACTAAACCAGAGTCGACACCAGAGATGGGGCGAGGCCTTTCAACATCCGCAAATGCCTACGGATCCTGGAGAAAAGCCGTCGGAACAGCCCGGCTTTCCACTCTGGGATCCTTTCTGCATGCCCCTCAGGAGCCCATGGAAAGGCCTCCCTCCTCCCCCTTCCCGCCCGCGCACCGTTTCCCAGAGACGGGAAAATGTCCGCCTCCATTTGCCAAAGTGCCCGGGCAGATAAGCCAGCGCTGGATAATTGACTGTGATAGAAACCAACTGACCGGAGCCGCATTACGGCCGGAGAAAGCAGCGGTATCAGGCTGCGAGGGAAGATGGAAATTAAAATTAGAGGTGGGAGGAAGGGGGGGGGAATCAAGCCGGGAGAGAGCGAGAGAGGAGCGCAAGCCATTTGCACTGAAAGGCACTCCAGGGCCTCTGAGAAAAAGAAGCCCTTTGAGGAAATTCACATGGAAGGTAGTAGGAAGTGGGTTTCCTCTCCTTTCTCCAAACACGCTGGCGCAAGTGCATGGGCCACCCGCCACACCCACGCTGTGTACCCTCTACACTCCCAGCGTCTGTCTCCCCGGATGGCATTACAAAGGCCTACCTCGCAATGCTGTCGTGAGGGTTTTCATGTTTCTATGTGAATTTTTATCTATTTTAACTTTTTCTAAGACACCTTGGGGCAAGAAGAAGAAGAAGAAGAAGAAGAAGAAGAAGAAGAAGAAGAAGAAGAAGAAGAAGAAGAAGAAGAAGAAGAAGAAGAAGAAGAAGAAGAAGAGGAAGAAGAAGAAGAGGAAGAAGAAGAAGAAGAAGAAGAGGAGGAGGAGGAGGAGGAGGAGGAGGAGGAGGAGATTGGATTTATACCCCGCCCTTCACTACCCAAAGGAGTCTCAGAGCGGCTGACAAACTCCTTTCCCTTCCCCCTCCCCACAACAGACACCCTGTGAGCAATGCAAGAATTCTACTTGGTGAGCGACCAGCATTGAAGTTGGGAGCGAGCTATTTGGCTACTGCATGAATTAGTTTGCTCTGGAGCCATCCCTTCCTGAGCGAAGACCAAAAAGCGTGAGCCGGAGGCTAAAAGACTGTGAGCTAGCTCACACTAACTCAGCTTAGAGGGAACACTGCCTGTGAGGTAGGTGGGGCTGAGAGAGCTCTTGACAGAAACGGCTCTTTTTCAAGAACAGTAGTGTGGTTAGAGAACTAGCCCTGAACCTGAGGCGGGAGAAAGGAGCTGCTTTCTCCATGCCTTCTGACCATTTTGAGTTGCCTCATACGAAATCAGAACATTGGTCCATATAGGCTACGCCAGCGGTCCCCAACACGGCGCCCACGAACACCTTTCCGGCCACCCACCAAGTGTTTCCAGAAAGTGTGTGGGGCCCCGTGGGGCTCGTAGCCAGCAGGGGGGAAATCAAAGGAGAATAAAGCCAACACTGGCTGTGGTCACACACACTAAACAATCCACTTTCAATCCACTTTTAGCGCACTTTCCAACCACCGTTCCCTCTAAGCTGAGTTAGTGTGAGCTAGCTCACCGTTTTTTAGCCTCCAGCTCACACATTTTTGTCTCAGCTCAGGAAGGACGGCTCCAGAGCAAACATTTATGCAGTAGCCAGTGTTCCCTCTAAGCTAAGTTAGTGTGAGCTAGCTCACAGCTTTTTAGCCTCTGGCTCACACATTTTTGCCTTAGCTCAGGAAGGACGGCTCCAGAGCACACTAATTTATGCAGTAGCCAAATCGCTCACTCACAACTTTAATGCAAGTAGCTCACAAAGTAGAATTTTTGCTCCCAGGACTCCACAGCTTAGAGGGGACACTGTTTCCAACTGGATTTTACTGTGTGAACTGGCAAGATCCAGGTGGAAAGTGCACTGAAAAGTGGACTGAAAGTGGATTGTTTAGTGTGTGTGACCAGCAGCCGTGAAAACATTATTTTAATCTACCCAGCCAATTATATCTCCTTGTTCTAGTCGAAATTGCCATCACGGGGTAGGTTTTATTCTCTCTCTCTCTTCCCGCCCCCTTTCCCAGTGTATTTTCAAAATTATATGTTTATTAAATTTGGTTCTCAAACCCTCCTCCCCCGGGGAAAAAACGGGCCAGGGCGGTGTACAACACAATACCCTATAAACAGCATTAGAAACAAATTAGAAGCCGTAAAACATAGCAGTAACCCAAAGATGGCGTTAAATTTGTTTCCCCTATTGGTGCCACTGGCCTCTAATGT